AGCTACTCGGGAGGCTGAGGCAGGAGAATTGCTTGAACCCTGGAGGCAGAGGTTGCAGTGAGCCATTGCACTCCAGCCTGGGCAACAGAGTAAGACTCTGCCTCAAAAAAAAATTAATTTAAAAATAAAAAAAGAAAAATGAAGGAAGACAGCATGATGGCACAGTGTGTGGGATGTGGGGCTGACCAGCCTGAATTTGTACCATGGCTCCTCCACCTAGGAGCTGGTGGCTTTGGGCAAGCTTCTGAATCTCCCTGTGCCATTTCCTCATCCACAATGTGGTATACTACTAGCACCAGCCTGTGTAGCTTAAGTGGGTATTATGCAAAATATTGAGACTAGGCCCTGGCAGAAGAGTAGGTACTGTACTTTGATCTGTGCGATTGTTATTCCCTGCTCATAAGAGTTTGAGGACAGAGGTTTGCACCAACCACACTATCATCTCCCTTCTCTGCCTGTCTACCCATCACGCAGCTGTGAGGACTGCGGCCCGGGGAAGGTGAGTGGCAGTGCCCGCGCCGCTGCCTGGTCTTTTTTCTGGCTCAGCTTCTCCCACTCATGCCTGGAGCCATCTCAGCCCCCACACACTCACTCTCATCTCTGCCGCTCTCACTCCACATCAGCTGAGAACACTGAGTCACCAAGCAGCCCCCACCCCTCCAAGGCTGCAATGTATAAAGAGCCAGCCCACCCAGCCTCCATCACTTTCACCTGGGCTCAGCTCCCGGCCACCTGAGTCAGCCCTGACTGAGCCTCTCCCAGGATCCTGTTTCACTGGCCTTCTCCTCCAGCTCCAGGTCCTTCTCATCGGGTGGCTCAGCCCTTGACCAGCCTTAACCCTCCGGAGTCATCACCCCATCATCCTTCCTCCGCTTTTTGTTCAAACCTCTTAAAAGTCTATGCTCCTGGTCTCCACCTCCAGCTTCTCTTATTTGTGACTCAATTGCCTGCAACCTGAACTGTGCTCCACCCTCCATGCCCCACTCCCTGAAACAGTCCTGCTTGCAGTCCTCTTTCCTCCTGTCACTGCTGCGTGCAGCTCTCTGGATAATGGGCGGTTGCACGAGGTTCCATGGTCTCTCTTGCTTTCCTCCCACGTCTTAGACTGCCCTCTAGGTCTCCCACTGCTTTCATTTGCCCCCTCCATGGGGAAGGGTCTGTCTTTGGCCCTCTCTCTTTCACCTCCTCACTCTCCTGGGATAATTCAAATGTCAACTGACTGAACCTCCACACATTTGCTGATGGCTCCCAGGATGCATCTCGGGATGAGACGTCCCTCTAAGATCCAGCTCCCTTTTAGAGGTCACCACCTGGTGGCCTGCAGTCACCTGAAACTTGAATGTCAAAAATAGAAATAATCATCCTTCCCCCAAACCTGCAACTTTCTCCTATTTCCTTACTCAGAAGGCCTCTCCAGCATCCTATCCAGTGTGGGATTCATTCTTGCTTTCTACCCCCCCTCCACATTACTGAATCTATCCCCAAGTCCTGCCGATTTTACTTCCTAAATAATTATTCTCTCCATTCCTACCATTACCCTAATTTGGGCCTTAACATCTCTAGCTATTATGGTTCAAATCATCTCCATTTCTCGGTATTTTCCTCAAACTCACCCTCCCCTCTGTAGCCAGAATGTTCTTCCTACATCCAAGGTCTAAGCCACGCCACTCCCCTCCCCCTACCCAGGAGAACCATGAGCTTCTGCGCAAAATGAGAGGCCCATGTGGCCTTCCCATCCTCCCTGCATCATTCCCATCCTCCCTGCATCATTCCCATCCTCCCTGCATCCCTCCCATCCTCCCTGCATCCCTCCCATCCTCCCTGCATCCCTCCCATCCTCCCTGCATCCCTCCCATCCTCCCTGCATCCTTCCCATCCTCCCTGCATCCTTCCCATCCTCCCTGCATCCCTCCCATCCTCCCTGCATCCCTCCCATCCTCCCTGCATCCCTCCCATCCTCCCTGCATCCCTCCCATCCTCCCTGCATCCTTCCCATCCTCCCTGCATCCCTCCCATCCTCCTTGCATCCTTCCCATCCTCTCTGCATCTTCTTCCCACCCTGCCTCCCCAGAGGGGAATAGCTCCAGTGACTGCTCCTAAGCTCACCTGCCCCACTGGCCCTTTCTCATCTCCCTGCCTGGCCTGGGGCTGTGTCTGGGGGATAGAGGAGGTTCCCTGTGCTAGCTCACTCCACCCAACACACAGACCCCGAGGCTCAGCCTCCAGCCTGGCCCGGGCCCCACCTCCTCAAGACACACTTCTTGGCCCCCCTGGTTGGTTGGGGTGAATGAAGCCCCAGGGCCCCAGCCCTCATCCCTGGAGGAATCTCTGTCCCCTTACTCTCCTCCTGTCTCCACATCCATTTCCTTCAATAGTCTCGGTCTGGACCTAGTCCTTCCAGACTGGGGCCCCACAAGACCCAGCTCAGCAAGTGTTTGCCAGATCAAAGGATGAATGACTCTGAGGCTCCTTCCAGTTCTGAGCGTGTTTGTCATTTGTTGACTTTAGAAATCGTTACATTTTAAACTTGAAAGAAAGTAGGAGAGAAGTAAAGGAGGAAGAATGAAGCCTGCACCGGAACCCACGCTCTAATTCTCAGCACTGCTCTCGGAGAGCTCCATTCTAAGCGGAGTGTAGTGAACACAGCTCCTCCTCTAGGGGTGGTTAGGGGCCAAGGTAGACTCTGCTCAGGGGTAAAAACAGTGAACTAAGAATCAAGTTCCCCTCCTGGCCTTCCCAAACAGCTTCAGGAAACAGGTTCGATTCTCTTGGCATCTATGTCCCAGGTATAAAACAGAAGTCACATTTCCATTTTGCGATTTATTGAGCAGATACTTCCCATAGGTATGTGGCTGCATATCCAATATATCAGAAAGCAAAACACAAAAAACATTTAAAATAAGAAAGCAGAGCTGCAGATTTATTCCAGCAGTGGAGCAAAGATAAATGTCTGGCTCTTGAAAAATTGAGCCTGTCATCAGACAAAATAGTTGGGTTTGAATAAATAAATCTTTATGCAACACAATATTGCAAAAAAAATATATTAAAGGAAAACAACAGAAAGAGAAAAAGATATCACCAATCTAACTGCAAATGATTAAAATTGGTAGAAATGTATAATGTGCAGGCCTAGATGCCCTTCCAGGAAGTGAGCAAAGGATGAGTCCAAGTGGTTTGCTCAGGAGCCACCACCACAGCCCAAGGGAGCCACAGTGTGCTCTAGAGTGAGGCCAGCTTCAGTAAGAATTCAGAGTCCACACACCCAACTTGCTCAATGAGCCTGTGCTTCTCCCTTGCAATGGAAAATCGGTATTTATATGGTTTGGCTGTGTCCCCACCCAAATCTTATCTTGAATTCCCATGTGTTGTGGGAGGGACCCAGCGGTAATTGAATCATGGGGGCAGGTCTTTCCCGTGCTGTTCTCGTGATAGTGAATAAGTCTCACGAGATCCGATGGTTTTAAAAACAGCAGTTCCCCTGCACAAGCTCTCTCTTTTTGCCTGCTGCCATCCGTGTTAAGACGTGACTTGCTCCTCCTTGCCTTCTGCCATGATTGTGAGGCTTCCCCAGCCACATCGAACTGTAAGTCCCAATTAAGCCTCTTTCCTTTGTAAATTGCCCAGTCTCAGGTATGTCTTTATCAGCAGTGTGAAAACGGACTAATATAGATATGACTACACCCATTTTGCAGGATTCTTATGAGGACAAATGAGAGCACCTGTCACTATAGCCAGCACTAAAGAAATAGGATTATTATATTATCAGAGGGAAAAATGCACAGCCTCACCAGCTATTAAACATATGGAAATGATGACAATTTAAAGATAACATGACTTATCTATAAAAGTAAAAAAAAAAATTATGGTTCACAGAAAGACTTGAAAAAAAATATTAGTAGCAGTTTTATCTATTTATCTATAATTTCCAAATACTGGAAAGAGCCCAGATGTCCATTAGGGGATAAACAAATTGTGATATATCCACGCAATGAAACACTTCTCAGCAATAGAAAGAACCACCCACTGGTACATGCAATAACATGGATGAATTGCAAAATCACCACGCTGGGTAAAAGAGGCCTTATGCAAAAGATTTCACACTTTATGATTTCTCTATTTTTTTTTTTTTTTTTTGAGACAGGGTCTTGCCTTGTCACCCAGGCTGGAGTGCAGTGGTGCAATCACAGCTCATTGCAGCCTCAACCTCTCAGGCTCAAGTGATCTTCCCGCTTCAGCCTCCCAAGTAGCTGGGAATACAAGTGCATGCCACCATGCCCGGCTAATTTTTTTGTAGAGACCAGGTCTCATTATGTTGCCTAGGCTGGTCTCGAACTCCTAGGCTCAAGCAATCCCTCCTGTCTTGGCCTCCCAAAGTGCCAGGATTTTAGGTGTGAGCTACCATGCCCGGTCGGTCATATGATTCGGTTTGTATGAAATTCTGGAGTAGAAGAAACTAATCTTTGGTAGAAAAAATAAAAATAGTAATTCCTGGAGCCCAGAAATTCTGATTCCAAAATTCTGACTGTATCTATTGCAGAAGCATATCATACACAAATATATTTACATGATACTTTCCAATCATCCCTCTTAAACATTTTCTGTAAAACATACCTAAATCTCTTTTGGTTATATAACTTTGGGATTCTGTTTTGTGGGACTGCTTCAAGATCTTAATTTCTTCTTCCCACTTTTCATTCTCCTTTCTGTACTGTTCAGTACTGCCTTGCCCCAAAGAAGGAGGAAATATTTGCTGGGGACTTACACGTCCTGGGCCTGGCATCAGGCCCTTGCCGTGTGTTCTCCCATTTTGTCTTCACAATGGCCCTAGGGGGGAAGTAGTATTTTTCTCATTTTGTAAACATAGAAACTGAGACTCAGCTCACGGGCATAACTTAACCATTGTGATATAGTTAATAAGAGGTGGTTTTTCTTAGAGAATAAAGCATTCTTTTAGGCTTTCTCTCTTAGACTAAGACCATTTTGAATCGATCTTATTTCTGAGTGAAAACCTTTTATTTCAGTAAAAATGGCAAACCCTTTCATTCTCTTAGAGAAGAATTGGTCACTTATTTGGTCTCGGTTCTGGGAAAGTAAGATGCTTATAGTCTCGATAAAGGGCTCATTTTAACTAATTGATTTTTTTCCGTTTTAATCCCCCAGCTTATAAATAACATTAGCAGTGGCGTGGATTTATTGTTGTGGCCTCTGGAAGGACTTGGGCACCGTGTAACCTCCTGGGGTCCGAAGTTGTTAATCAGTAAATTGTTCATGAAGGACGGTGCTCATTGTGAAGGAGGGTGTTCTGGGATGCTCTGCCTGGCCCATGGGAGACAAGGCTATGGCCTGACACCCCTCAGCCTGTCCTCATTGTCCTGGCTCTGAGAAGAAGCTACAAAACACAGAAGAAGAAAAAGAAAAGAGTCTTTTAAAGTCTTGTAATGAGTTGTTAATGATAAAAGTAACACATGCCAACTGGAAAAATGTGAATTTTTTAAATCTCAGCAAAAAGTATAAAGATACTTCAATTTCTTTAAAAAGTTATGGAAATCTATTGTTGTATGCATAGATTGTTGAATGTATCTCTGCTTATTTAAATTCCTGAAAGTCCTATCAATGAGGTCAAAAGGCAGGAACAGGTTGTTTGTCATTGGTTGTTTGTCTTTTTGAGACAGGGTTTTGCTCTATCACCAAGGCTGGAGTGCAGTGGTGCGGTCACAGCTCACTGCAGTCTCCATCTCCTGGGCTCAAGCATTCCTCCCACCTCAGCCTCTAGAGTAGCTAGGACTACAGGCGCACACCACCATGGCTGGCTAATTTTTTTTTTTTTTGTAGAGATAGTGTCCTGCTATGTTGCCCAGGCTGGTCTTGAACTCCTGGCCTCAAGCGATCCTTCCAAGTTGGCCTCCCAAAGCACAAGGATTACAGGTATGAGCCATTGCACCCAGCAGAAACGTGTTTAAGGCTCTTAAAAAGTATTGGAAAATATTGCTAACTTTTCTTCCAGAAAGGTTTTACCAATGCATGCTTTCATCGGCAATGTGTAGGAGGTATTTCACTGCAGCCTCAGCAATACTGCATATATTAATTTTAAAAACATAGCCAGCTTGCAAAAAAAATGTATTTGGTGGTAGTATTTCATTAATAATGAAGTCACAGTTTTTCTATATACTGATTTCTGGCTTCTATGATTCTATTTACTTGAAACTGTAGAACATATATACAGTTTTTTGGATATTTCTGTTACATCTATATGTTACTTTACTTTGTAAGTTCTTTTTTTTTTTTTTTTGATACAGACTCTTACTCTGTCTCCCAGACTGGAGTGTAGTGGTGGGATCTCGGCTCACTGCAACCTCTGCCTCCCAGGTTCAAGAGATTCTCCTGCCTCAGCCTCCTGAGTAGCTGGGACTACAGGCGCCTACCACCATGCCCAGCTAATCTTTTTTGTATTTTTAGTAGAGACAGGGTTTCACCATGTTAGCCAAGATGGTCTTGATCTCCTGACCTCGTGATCTGCCTGCCTCAGTCTCCCAAAGTGCTGGGATTACAGGAGTGAGCCACTGCACCTGGCCAACTTTGTAAGTTCTTTACTCATTTTTCCTACAGAGGGTTAATATTTTTCTTGTTGATTTTTATGAACTCTTTTGTTTGTTTGTTTGTTTGTTTTTTGAGATGGAGTCTCACTTTGTGTCACCGGGCTGGAGTGCTATGGCACGATCTCAGCTCACTGCAACCTCCGCCTCCCAGATTCCAGCGATTCTCCTGCCTCAGCCTCCTGAGTAGCTGGAATTACAGCTGTGCGCCACCATGCCCAGCTAATTTTTGTATTTTTAGTAGAGATAGGGTTTCACCACATTGGTCAGGCTGGTCTCAAACTCCTAACCTCAGGTGATCCACCTGCCTCAGCCTCCCAAAGTGCTAGGATTACAGGCATGAGCCACCACGCCCAGCCTGTAATGCAGTTCTTAACTGGTGACTCTGGGAGCTGGGCTGTGTTATCTCATCTCCAGTATGTGACAGCCGAGGTCATGGTGGAGGGAGGAGAAAGAACATGGATGGTCACTCAGGGCATGATGCCCAGGTCTGGACGTGGCATGCATTACTTCCAACTATATTCTATTCACCAGACCCCAGGCTGATTGTCCCAATCTAATGGTGCAGAAGGCTGAGAAACATGATCTTGTGTGCAAAGGAAGGAAAAAGGGAACTGTGAGGCCCTGTTCATTTCCTGCCACCCTACCCTAACCATCCTGTATTAACTTGCGAAGCACCTGAGCCCTCGTAATCCCCATCCCTTGTTTTTCTGTGTTTTTCTTTCCCATAGCCCTTATTTTTAACATGCTGTGTATATTCATTTATTATGTTATTGTCAGTCCTCCCCACAAGACTATAAACTCTGCGGCGTTAGGGATTTCTGTCGATTTTGTTCACTGACTCAGAAAAGTACCTGGCATCATATTAGTCAAGGAGACATTGCCTGGTGCTATTTCACGGTGCTAAGTGCTGGCACGTTTCCTACACTTTCTCTAGCGCATCCTTCCTCCATTGCCCGCTGCCAGCACCTGACCAGCCTTCCAACTTCAGCCCATGATCCTCATCCTGCTTGAAGCCCTCCAGGACCCCCCACCTCCTGCAGAACTGACTGTGCCCTTCTTTGTGACATAGTCATGCCTTGTACCAAACTCTACTCTGCATTTATCCCACTCTTTTACAATTGTGAATTTGTTTGTCTTCCCTGCACAACAGTGAGCTCCTGTGAGACCTGGCCAAGTTAAAGACGTCATAGTGTCAGTCGAATGAATGAATGGATGAATAAATAATTGGATAGGCCAACCAATTCTTCACAATTTGGACAGGTTTTAAAACACCCCAGTGAAGTTTGAATATGGAGTGGGTATAAATAATACTGTTAAATTTGTTAGGTGTAATAATGACATTAGAGTTATAATGTATCTGACATTCTACATTATATAATGTATATATACTGTGTTTATATTATATGGTTACATAAAGTATATATTATATAACAGACATACATTTTATAATATATTTTCATTGGAGATATATCCTGAATTACAGGTGAACTGATAAGATGCCTAAGGTTTGCAATAAAAGAAAATGGAATGAGGCTGGGCAGAGTGGCTCATGCCTGTAATCCCAGCACTTTGGGAGGTCTAGGCAGGTGGATCACCTGAAGTCAGGAGTTCGAGACCAGCCTGGCCAACATAGTGAACCCCTGTCTCTACTAAAAATACAAAAAATAAATTAGCCTGGAGTAATGGCAGGTACCTGTAATCCCAGCTACTTCGGAGGCTGAGGCAGAAGAATTGCTTGAACTCGGGAGGCAGAAGTTGCAGTGAGCCGAGAACACGCCATTGCACTCCAGCCTGGGTAACAAGAGCAAAACTCCATAAAAAAAAAAAAAAAAAAAGAAAGAAAATGAAATGATATGAAATAAAAGTAAATAAAATTAAAGTGTGTTGGAGGAGGAGGATAGATGGAAAACAAGATGGACACAAGACAAGGTGTGAAAACGTTAATAACTGTTCAAGTTGGGCAGTGAGTATTTGATACTCATCACACTCTCTCTCTACCTCTGTGTATGTTTAAAATTTCCTGAATAAAAATGAAAAGCAAATGAAGCGACAGAGCCATTCACACTCTGCCCAATGAGAAGGAGAAAAAGGTTCCCAGTGCCATTACCTTGTCCCACCCTTCACCCGGGTGCAGATGAAACACCTCTCACCTCTTCTAGTGCTGACCACGGAGTGTCATCATACGTGGAGAGAAAGCCAGCAGTGGAAGGAAAATGTAAACATTGAGTAATTAAGACCTGAAATCGGGAAGTCTAAACAGCGTGTCCCAGATGCCAGGCTGTGCATCTCACCCACTGTGGAAGGAAGACAGATGTGTACCTGAGCAGCAGAGCACCGCCTGCACCAAAAAGTCACCCTGCAGTATTCTAGAGAGTTAGGGCTGGTGAGGGTCTTAATTCAACTCCCTTATTTTACCAATGCAAGGAAACTATGATTCCAAGACTGCATGACTTTCCTAACTTCACACAGTGAAACAGCTGCAGTGGCTGGGCACAGTGGCTCACACCTGTAATCCCAACACTTTGGGAGGCCAAGGTGGGTGGATCACCTGAGGTCAGGAGTTCAAGACCAGCCTGGCCAACATGGTGAAACCCAGTCTCTACTAAAAATATGAAAGTTAGCCAGACGTGGTGGTGGGTGCCTGTAATCCCAGCTACTCAGGAGGCTGAGGCAGGAGAATCTCTTGAACCCGGGAAGAGGAGGTTGCAGTGAGCTGAGATTGCACCACTGCACTCCAGCCTGGGCAACAAGAGTGAGACTCCATCTCAAAAAAAAATAAAATAAAATAAATAAAAAGTAAAAATAAAAAAATAGCGACATCAAAACCAAAACCCACATTGGCAGACCCTTGAGTCAATTTTTCCCCGTCTCAAATCTGTTTGTGAAGAGTGTTTGCATATACACCTTTCCAATACTTTGCCTTCTCTACACCCATGAGAGAGGCAGGCCTAGAAAATGGGTCAGTATATGCTGATAACTATTTGTAAAAGAATCAAATGTGGCTCAGACATGCAATAAAACTTACTAAGCCTCATCAGATTAAAATGCAGTCCCCTGGAGATGCACAGGCTTATGGAGATACAGCAGAAGGATCATCGCTGGAAAAGACATGTCCATTGAAAAGCAGAAGAAGCTTCGTTCTCTGCCTTCTGCCCACAGGTCAGGTGAGACTGACCCAGCAGGAGCGGATGTGTCTTAAGCAGGTCCCTCGGCATTGTCTTTTTTTTTTTTTTCTGAGACGGGGTCTCGCTCTGTACGCTGGAGTGCAGTGGCACCGTCATGGCTCACCGCAGCCTCCATCTCCTCAGGCTCAGGTGATCCTCCCACCTCAGCTCCCAAGTAGCTGGGACTACTGGCGACTACCACCATGCCCAGCTAATTCTTCTATTTTTTGTAGAGACAGGGTTTTGCCGTGTTGCCCAGGCTGGTCTCGAACTCCTGGGCTCAAACAATCCCCCAGCTTTAACTTTCCAAAGTTCTGGGATTACAGGTAGGAGCCACCATACCCGGCCACTCAGCATTTTTCTACCATAACCAGTGACCGTGCATTGACTGTTGACTCTACAGGCACTTAGTGCTCATCATCTGGTGCCCTCAACAATCCTACCAACAAGAATCATTCTCCTCACTTGACAGATGGAAAGAATGAGGCTTACAGAGGGTAAGTGACCTACCGAGGGTCATGCTAATGGGGCACTCATGAGTGACTGATCCAGGGCTTGAGTCAGGCCTGTCCAACCTCATAGCTTTTCCTCTTTCCACTCTGCCAAACTGTGTCTGAACAATCCAGATG